AGAGTGAAACACAGAACAGTTCACTGAACAGAAATAAATCAGAGTAGACAGGATGAAAGAGGGTATACCTCAACTGTGGAAAAGGGTACAAAAGCATAAAAAAGGCTAGTAAAACAGACATAAGCAAAGATCAAAGACTTTAAACATTTCATGTTCAACCCACACTTTTTTCCCCTTTAGCTATCAAAAACCCCAAGCAACTCCTAAGTACAGGTATCAGCCTACGTCCACCCCATTTGCCCAAATCAAAGCTCACTGCAGGCAGATGTTCAAGTCTAAAATTAATCATCATTACACTGTAACAACTATCTTTTCCCTTCTTTGTAATCAAAATGTTTTAATTCCAACAATCTTGACCAGAATGCACATTCTGGTGGAGCATTTATTAAAGAATTTGCTTCTTTATAAAAAACCTGAGTGTTATAAATTCCGATTTCTTAAGAAAAATCTAGGCCCTACTGCCGCAGAACCACTTTTAAGAGGAACAACTCTCACAAACTGCTAGTGTGACATCTACCTTGCATCTGTGGAAGCCTGACAGCACATCTGGAAAGTGAATCAAATCCATTCGCTTCAAGAAAGTGAGAAAGGTGCAGACTTAATAGTATTTGTTGTTTTTCTAAAATATGTGCTCATATTTTTTACAGCCAAACTCAGCAATTTCATTTTCCCAAAAACTTTTTTCCATTTCCCTGCCCAGACAGAATCTGGCTGAAGCTGCCTCTTGCTATTTGGTCGTCTTCACAAGAAAGAGTTAATTGGAGTGCATGTTCCTGCACTCTTTCACAGAGCCAGGCAGCTGGCTCAGGCACTAGAGATGGAATCCAGTTTTCAGGGAAAGATATAGGCAAGCCAGAAGTATGGGCTGGCAAGCTCAACTGTTTGGAAAAAAGCATACAACTAAAGACTAAGAGCTCAGAAAAGGAGTCAATGAAGCAGTCTACACATTCTAGGCACACACCACCAGAGCGGTGGAAGGAAACAGTCAGCTGGTTCGCCTGGAAAATTCTATGGGCACGAAAGGCCTGCATGTGCATCCAGTCAGTGAAAACCAGTAGGAGAAGGGCAAAAGGGAGAAAAACAGGAGAACAATAAAATACTTCATCCTTTGAAGTAGCTTTCAGCATGTCCGGATGCAACAACTGATACAGATAGTATCAATTAATATATTCAATTAAGACAAAAGTTATGAAAGTAATACTGTGATGAAAGTTGGCAAGTTCTCCAGACAGTAGATTAAATTAACTCAGAGTTTGATTCCATACATTATGGATTCTGCATACAGTGTTTATCCAACAGTTCTTTTAAAGCAGATCCATTTCCACAAATACAAATCACAGTAAAATAAACCCATTAAAACTAAAATACAGTTTCAAGTCTTTGTTACTTGACCAAATATTAATGGTGGTGCTAAATGTAATGAAAGTCACAATCTCGTAATTACTTGCAGCTGCCTATTTTTATTCAAAAGAATTAGTAAGACTCTTGTCAGTTTGGGAACCACAGTTCATACTACAAGACTTCCAGCACTTCTTACGCAATCCTATTGGAATTCAATTAGCAAGTATCAGAGAACAAAACTTATCAAAAATTAAAATAAAAACCACTTTCTGTTTCTGTAAGAATACCTTGATCTTTCTGGATCAGAAGAGTATATAGACAGTACAATACTAAGACAAAAAAAATTAGGTGGTGTTAGTCACATTCTGGAAAAGTATCTTTAGGACAGCTAAGTATTATTTTACTGTAATTGCACCTAGATGTGCAGCAGGTGACTAATCCGCTGAATTTTACCGTTTCATTTACTTTAGTAGTGTACACAATGTATTTTACTCACATCTATGAGCATTTCATAATGTTACAAGTATTACGATATAGAGGTATAGTAAAGGTATGAAGTATTCTTGGTATGTTCCTCCACCTCACTGCCATGGCAGAACACCACTGCAGTCATCTCTTAGTTTCTGATTTATTTCCAAGAAGCATGACCCCTTTTTGTATCAAAGGACACAAAGAAAAAGGCTCCGATTTAGAAAGACAGATGGGTTTCTATCCAGAGGTATCAGATACTGACTGATCCCAGCAGAAGGTAGGTAACTGAATACTTTTGAAGAACTGGACCTAAATTTAAACAGGAAATGAGAGACATTCTCCCAAGTGAGGAGCTTATATTATAACACTGGAACTCTACTTGATTAAAAATAAGATTTTAAAAACAATAATAAAATTGGCCTGTAGCATCTCCAGCAAAGGAAGAGCTCTTCAGACATAACTGGACACTGAATGGAATGTGTGTAGTCTTCACATGTACTCAAACATCTGAAAAGTCAAAAGCAAAAGACATAAAAGGAGTGTAATGAATTATTCTCTCTCACGTATGAGGTACTGATAAACTCAATTCTGATAAAACCTGACCATCTCAGTACCATTATCCCGCAACTATTCCAGTGCTGACATCTATTTCCTCTGTCTGAATCATTACAATTGTTGAAAATAAATTTGGTCTAGACAAGCACAAGGAGAAACAAATGCCATACTAACACTAACTTGCAGCTGATGGAGGGCAATTAACTCTTCCTTAACTAAACAAAAAAACCCTTCTCTAAGTAACAAAGCCACTTTTTTTGATTGTGTAACTGCTTACAAACCATGCCTAATCCAATATTAACACTCACTCCTATGGTCACAGAATTTGCTTTTTCAACATTGGACAAAAACAAAGTATTAAAGTATATATAAAGCAAGACCACAGCACCTCTAACAACCTCCATTTGTTCATGCTTTTAATGCCCTTTAAAGCATCTAATGCTGCAATGGCTTTCCAACCATAGGAACTGACCTATACCACCACCAAATCACGAAATCCATAGCTGACAGGCACACGCTAGCTGTGTTCTCGCATCAAAACATTAACAACCTTAAATATCTCAAAACTAGCATAAATAGTAAGCACCCTATTTCTACTAATGGTGACTCCTGCAAGAATAACACTTCTCTATAGCACCTAAGTGCCATAGCTACTAACCATGGATCTCGAGTTCTCATATGAAGTAAGTCATTGAGAGCATTTAAAAAAAAAAAAAAAAACTAAACAAAACCACACAACATACAACATTCTGAAGAAATTATTTCGCTTTTGAAGTCACCTGATAAAATTTTTCTGCCACATTTCCTCAACATATGGTAGTTAAGACTGTAAGAAAAAAAGAGAAATCCTAATAAAATGGAAAATACTGAAAATAAGCTATACAGATGATTAGTTGGAGCTGTGTCTTTCAAACATTTTTGCAAAAGAAGACACATGTTTAATAGGACTAGAAGTTAACACAGGTTTCCCCAGTGACTTCACCAGAGATGCAATCTGTCTGCAAAAAATGAAACATTTTTTCCTCTCTTTCAATCCTGGCAAAAAAATGAGAAGACACACATACATACACAATACCCGCCCATCCCCCCCAAATAAGAATACAGCTCTGGAAACTTCAATTCTAAGTAGTAATCAATCCTAACAAATTTCAGTCCCCCCAAAATGTATTTTAAATAAAATTCTTTTTATAAATATATAACTACAGTGGAAAGTGTATTTTATTTGTATGCCAGTTTTTTTACACATACCTCTAGTGTAAGGTAGTTTTTAATTGTTCTGACTCCCAAACTACTGTATTTTAAATTTACATCTCCCATGTCTATTTTTTTTTATGCATACACACGCAACTCCTCCTAAGTAAACCACAGTAATCATGGTATGGGGTCAAGGATGCACAAAGTCAAAGCCAAATTCAACACACCATGCCTTAAGCATGGGTATGCTTCCCCTCAGCAGCTTTTCATTTTACATACATGTATCCCACATATGTATCAGATATCAATTTATACTCTTAGTATTCCAAAAAACTACTGATAAAGTTTAATTTCAAGACTATTTTTCAAAATCACCTTGTCCATTTCCAGTGCTAATTCTGCCTTCCAGTTGTCAAGTATTTTTACCAAATAGAAGCTATAGAAGCTTTACATGTTAAATGCATGATCATAATTGACAAGCTACTTAATTTATATGTAGTCCAAGAAAAAAAATAAATAAACTGTAAAATAAAAAGAGTATGCTTCAGTGAATGCATCACTTAAAGTTCTTAATAAAATAGGTCAGAAACACATGCAAGATTGTTTTCAAGAAGTTCAATTCCACCAAGTTTTCCATGTTTCTCAATATTACAGAAGTGGGTAATTGAAATTTTAGTTGCACAGAAGTAAATGACAAAGAAAATACTGGTTTTAAAAGTATGTGAACTCAAACTTATATGTGGTAACTTGTAAATCTTTTTACACTGATTAGACAAGTTAATGCCAACAGCAAAAATTTGTGAAGTGCTAAATATGAATAAAAACTATTAACAGAGTAAAAGGATGCCCATCACTAGTGGAGCAGTGTTCCTGAGGAGCAGCTGTCAACACAAGCTGCTCACACACTGATGTATCTATCCAGCCACCTATAAGTCTAATTTTTTACACCTATACAAAAGACATATTTCTCTGTAAGGACTTAAAATATCAGAAAAAAAAGGTATGGAGAATTTTTTTCCACTAGTAACATTTTTATGATTCTATCACTAAACACTTAACAAAAGTTATTCAAAATTTTGTTTATGAGCATGACTTCCAGTAGAATGAACCTTTATGCTACTCAGTGGAAATCTGGGAAACTATTTACAGTCATCCACTTTTCCAGTAAGTTCTACACATCATGATTCAGCCTGTATTACACTATATATCCTGCAAATACATCACTTAACATTAAACTGTATGGAGTATCTGCTATGCTCCTAAGTGTCCTCTTAACTGACCACATGATTACCTCAAATATAAAAGAAAGAAATTCACCAGGGTCAAAATGGGGAAAAAAAAAAAAAAAGTTTTCATAAGAAAATAAAACATACAGGAGAAACAAGACAACAGCGAAAAAAAATATAAATAAACCCAAGGCACAACTTGAACGCACTTACATTTGAAGCATGACTTCGTTCAGAAACACACCATCCACTAGCGCCACATATTCTTCCAGGTTGGTCCCATTTCCTCCAGCTAACGGTCCAAATGTCTTAACCTAAAACATAATCATCACCACCGTGACACTAACTCCACCTTATTCTCTGCCGCAAGGCATTTATCTTCAAACAATGAGCAAATAAATGAATAATGTGCGTGGAAGAATGAATGCTTACCCAGGTGACAAGAGGGCTAGACATGAATTGCTCCAAAAGGGGTGTGAATATTTCGTTCTCCATTTTACAAAAAAATGGTTAACATCAATGTAGCTCCTCTGATGCAAAAAAATATGAGAAGTCCTTCACTGTAGCAACTCTCTGAAATCTCCAAGGATTTAGCTGGAGTAAGTGAACCCCATTTTTACCATGCAATGCAACAGCAACAAAAAAGTCAGTACACTGGCAACTGGGATTTATCTTCCTCTTTTAAGAAAAAACACATTTGAAAGTCCATCTACGAGTATTTCAGCCTTTCCATTGATGTCTCTCCCTTCCTACATACCGAAGGGGCAGAAGGCAGGAAGGAAAGAAAAGAGGGAGGCTGCCTAGCTACTGGGATTCTGCATCAGACAAAAAAAAAAAAAAAAAAAAAAAAAAAAAAAAAAAAAGGAAGGAAAAATCTGCTTCAGCAGCGGCAGCTCCTCAGAAAGGAAAGAGAAATTCCAGTAAAACTCTGCAAGCTCATCCTGCCCCTTCCCCACAAAAATAGAAAATAAAACAACACAGAAAACCAAACCACCCACCCACCCCCCTCCCTCCCCCCCAAAAAAAAAAACAACCGAAGGACGAAGGAAGGCAAAGAGGGGCAGAGACCCCCAACCCCCACTCACAGCTAAGCCCCCCCCCCCCCCCCCCCCCCCCCCCGGCTGCTTCTGCACACAAGAAAATCCTCCTGCACCCCTCCGCAATGGCACAGGCAGCCCACAGAGAGGGAACCAGCCCCCGGCAGGGATGAGAAGCTATTTTAAATCAGTTCCCTTTTCTAACCCCTTCTCTTTTCCACTCAACTACGACGCAAGGCAGGGACAGGACTGGCACACGCCGCCTCGCCCCACAACCTCGCCCTTCCCCCGCGCTGGCCGCTCCCCCCGTCCCCTCAGCTTTCCCCCTCAGCTCTTCCCTCCATCCCCCGGCGCCTCAGCCGCCCCGAGCTCCCGGAGCCCCCGCTCCAGCTGTTGGCCTGCCGCTCTGCCGCCGCCCCTCCCCGGCACCAGCTCCGCTTCCCCCTCCCTTCTTCCCAAATAACGGCCACCTCGCCTCAGCCGGCCCGGCCGCGCCGCATCACTCGCCCCCCTCCCTAATGCCGACGGGCGGTTCCAGCGTATGGATCCCTCCGCCCCGGTCTGTGTGCGGAAGCCGGTTATCCCTCCGCCAGCCCGGGTCCCTTCCTCCCCCCCCCCCCCACCCCGCCGCCCTCAGCCGCCGCTCGGGGCTGGCGGCGCAATTAGAAAGGGGCGGGGCGGACCGCTGCGGGGCTCGCGCACGGGCGCTGCGGCGGCGGCGGCGCGCGAGCCCAACGGCCGCGCCGCGTGAAGGGGGCGGCTGAGGCGGGCGGCCTCTGCCCCGCAGCAGCAGCAGGAGGATGATGATGAGGAGGAGGAGGAGAAGAAGCAGAAGCAGCAGCCAGGGGCCTGGCCCCAGGGTGCGGGAAGGGAGATGCTCTTCGACTCCCCTGCGGGGGAAAAAAAAAAAAGGTGCCCGTGAGGAAAAACTCGTCGTGGAGGGGGAGGGGGTGAAGAAAGGGAGGTGGGGAAGGGGAGTCGCTGACGCCCTTGAAGAGAAAAATAGGGAGGAGGGAGGGGGGTTAATCGCACGATCCGCACCCCACAACCACACGCTCCCGCCTTTCGGGGGAGGGGAGGACAGGTTTTGTGCTGAGGAGGTGAAATCCAGACACACCCACGTTAACGCAAAATCCATCTTTCTGGAGAGATTTAGCGGGGAGAGAGGAGGGCAGGGAGGGCGGCGACCTGGTTACAGAAAAGCAAATGATGACAAGCAATTTGCCTGCCTAAGCTATTGTCCTTAAACTGTCTTTTGCCACTTGTGTTTCAAAGCCCCAGTACTGCATCAACATATGGGACAGTATCTGTTTAATAGATTATGTAGTTTATTGACAAAGCATTTCACAAAATCTCAAATCCAGCTTCTCGTCCATGCAGTATGAATTAAACTGCTGCAGCATCTTCCAAATACCTTTAGTTTTCAACACACTAAAAAACACCACCACGAAACAGCGCTGTAAAAGTGACTGAAATTAAGTCCTTTTGAAAAAATAATAGAAACAGCTAAACAGATTAGGGTTGAACCTAAATATTATATATAATATTTGTCCCAATGGTCCAAGATAAGAAAATGCCAATGATGACCTTTTCCCCATATGTGAAACTGAAGAGAATATTTAAGTAAAAGAAAAATAAATTATGGACCCTGAAATATTAGTACATAGTTTGTATTCCAGGGATTTTTTTATAAAAAAGTTGCATAAATGACTCCGTTTTGATTCTCACAATTACACATTTTCAGCAAAAATCAAGTCTTTCTCTCCCAAACCAGATCTTCAGAGTGAACACGTAGTCCTTCTGTGAAACAAATAAGAAAGAGCAAAGGAAAAATCTGCCGTCTTTAATCTGAATGAGAATCTAGTGATCCATGGGTGAAATAACTGCCAACAAACTACTAACCCTTACAGGCAACTACAAAAGTGTTTTTGTAGAAGCCTGACTAAAGAACCGCTAAGCACCCTGTATCTGGCAACAGTATATAATATGCAATTGTGCATGCAATACTAGAGAACTTCCCTGGCTCATCAGTTTGTTTCTAGTGGGCCCTAATTAGGCAGTAATGTCTTTGGCATAAAGCAATTTCTACGAATTAGAGACTGGCTAGAGAAGTTGATAGCCCATGTAGTAGTCACATCTTAATAACACCAGCTGGCTCATGAATTCCTGAAAAACATTGTATACTGAGATTTCATAATATTGAGATAAAGATTTGATTAAACAGGTGTAGATGTTCTTACTTCCATCCACACGATCCAGCTTGCGTGCATTCTCAGCATTGCTGCTGATCACTTCCTGCAGAATGACTATTTTAGATAAATAATGCATAGCATCTTTATGAAATACATCATAAGCTGGTTTATCTCAGGTGATTTACAGTTCCTTATTAGATCTGGAGGTTAATACAAGAGAAAGTTTCAGAGAAGGTATCCAGAAACAGTCATACGAGTTTTTTTGTTGTTTGGTTTTGGTTTTGTAGACTAAGAGCCCTGAAAACCTGTGAAGAAGCTCTATAGTTTCTGTAGCTTATACTTTGCAAAGCCAAGGGTAAGAATATTTACCTCATTTTCAGGTAATACACAGATATTGATCAGAACAAATTGCTTAAAGGGTAGCTATTTACAATGTAGTAATGACTAGAAGACATTGGACAATCTAGAGATTGTTCAGTTGCTTTTAGTGTTCATCATGTCTGCACCCACTGGGTGCCTACACGTGGTAGAGAGGTTGTTGGTACCTACTGGTGTAACCAGGATTGACCAGTTGTGGCTCTCCTGGACCAGCTTGCGCACACGCTTGTGGTCAGTTGCAGAGCAATGCAAACTAGTTACTGAAACTGCAGCCATCTAAGAGGGGTGAGATGACTTGCCATAGGACAGGAAGCTGTCTACCTTTGATTGCTGAGCCCATGTTTGACAGACATACCTTGAAATTAAAAGGTAGAAAGAAATGTTTGTTGAGTTGTCTTTCTGATTCAAACAATATGGAAGGCTTCCATTTTTAGCGTAGCTGTTGGGAGTCTTCAGGAGTATTGATCTAGGACATACTTAGAAGTCACAGCTCTACTTCAAGTAGCGGGGCAACAGCACTATAACTGGTAGCTTGTGATATATTTGGCTGCATTGTTTTAGCACTTTTTACCTGGGAAGACTCCTAAAAGCAAGTTTGATGGCTACACTTACAATGGTAAATCCCAAACTTTGTTACTACAGTTCAGTACCTGCTGAGGAAGTTGATGACTGGAATTAACTAACCCAGAAATAGAGAAGGCTGGTAGCATGCAGGTGGTTGCTCCTGTCTCGGTGTGAGTTGACTGAAATCATCCTCCCTCCATTTCTTTGCTTCCAGGGTGGAGCATCTGGGTTCTCAGGTGTCTTGTGAGGTATATGCTTAGACAGGTGCCACTTCCTCAATTAGCAAACCAGTGGGCCAACTAAAATGTTAAGAACCCATCTTTGTTCCTCCTCTCATAATCCCAGCACTGTACACCTCCTGAAGGTCACACTTCTAGGTTCCAAATTTCATTAGTGTATATGCAGCTCTCCTAAATGGTATGATTCAATTTGAAATTGTAGCTCTTGTCATTGGAAAGCAAAATACTCTATTTCAGCTATAATAGAACTGATAAGCTAGTTTGAACAATTCTTTTACTTTGAAACAGTAGAATGCAGAAACATTATTATTAAAGTTAAGTTTTTAACTATTATAGGAGTGCATATTCAGGAGCATTTTTGAATTAAAAAATTACCCTTTTAATAATTTGAAAAAAGCGTACAGAGAACAGTCTTGTTCTTTCACGTCGCTATTCTTTAGAAAGAGGCCTGTCAGTATTTAATACAGTGTGTGGCCTACTACTTCTGAAAGAACAGATTCAGAGATCAGCTTTGTTGTTTGAAGTGTAGTATTTGTTTTTCTCTGGGTAAAGCATCCCCATCTCACTTCCGTTGCATCTCCTTTGGTACCACAAAGATTCTACAGAGAAGACATGAAAATTATAAACAATCTGTGCCTAGACCCCAGATCTTCAAATTACAGAATTACTTCATGATCTTACTTTAACTTTTCTCATCGCATAATTTCCTATGCCTGTTGTTGCAAAATAAAACTTGAAAAAGAATGACAAGAACACAAAGTAATGCCTTAAGTCTGCAGGCAGCAGGAAAGCATAACTGTGTACACCCCCATTTACCTCACCAGAGTTTATCAAAAGATTTCTGGTCAGCCCTGCCCACAGTGAACCAAGGGAGGGGACTGTTTGCAGAGAAGACTAAAAGCAATCTACCCATCTTTAGCTGATGTAAGAGACAGTGGTTTTCTCTTCCTCTCCTACATAAGCAAAGGCATGAGGTGGCGGAGAGAAAGCTTTTGGTGCTATTTTCGCTTACTGATCTACACTGCTGGGTTGCTAAGCCTTTGCCTGGCCTGAAGAAACTTCAGAAGAGGGCAGAACTGGAGCCAAGTGTGGATTCTTGGGATCCACAGCAGGGTTACCAAAGTGCAGTCAAACTTGAATTTTTTGAATATGGGCTGACTTGACAGGACAGTGGCTAGTGAAAACTGCAAGCTAATGACAAGGACAGTCAAATGGGGCAATAAAGGAAAGAGTAAGGGCACTGAGGGGTTAAGTCTTTTTAAGTATGGCTAGGAATTCCCAAAGGTACCACAAGTACAGTAGACTAAAAGTTAGTTCTTGTTCCACAGGAGTGGAAAGAAGGGGAAATCCCTCCATAACATGAAAAATTAAGTGGAAATTCCACAACAGTTCTTGAAGACTTCTTCCCTGCTACTGCGTCTGCTCTGATGTGACCAAAATTCCCCATCAACTTTAAGGGAACTTTCTGAGCAAGAACCGTAAGTAACCTCAGAATGAGAGTATTTTGAGTGAAAAATTAAGAACAAAACAGTAGGGGCTTGGAGAAAGTGGCTGTTGTCCATTTAAAGTTTTTTACAGATCCCAGACATTTTACAGTTTATGTCCAATTATACCAAGTAGCAAGAAATAAGTACAGAGGCAGCAGACAAGGAATATCCTGTATGAGTATCTGTGATCAAGAACGGTTCTCTGCATCAACATCAATGCAAATGCATCAAAATTTCCTGTCAGGCAGAAAGCTAGTTGCAAGAACAGGTATTTACCATTTCCAGCCATTCGTAGCTAACATATCCACATCAATCCGATTCCTTTTTATCCATGTGGATATTGAATCCATCATTTTCAATTGAATTACAAATAGAAGTGCAATCTAGCACATTTCCACAAATCTAGTGGCAGCTTCCAATAATGATTTGTTGTTAAAAATAAACAATTACTTGATTATAGTAAGTTCTAACTTTAAATACTTAACTATGTTTTTTAAATACACTGCCTCAAACTCCAGAGAAGTCAACGCAGTATATATTGACAGGGGTAGAACTACAACAGTGGAGCCACATTCTAACTCCCACACTATCACTGAATTGCATGTTAAACAAGTCTTAATTTACTTGAAGGACTACATGGGTACTTAACTGTGAAACAGTTGGTGCAAGTGTTATATTTAATACTGTTAC